CTTGTCCTGAGCCTGGTTCTGCTGGAGGTTTCTTCCTGTTAAAAGGGAGTTTTTCCTTTCCACTGTTGCCATTGTGCTTGCTCAGGATGGGAGACTGCGACAAAGTGAATATTCAACGTTTCTGCTGGCTTCCTTACATAGAGAAATTTACTAATTGGCTTTTTTATGTATGTGAATGTTTCTGTTCAGTGCCCTGAGACAACTTTGTTGTGAATTGGCACTATACAAATAAACTGAACTGAATTGAATAAGTAATGATTAAAACAAACAAAGTCTATGCTCAAAAATCCAGGTATACAATCAAACAATTTTCAGTCAGGTCATCTGGACAGTTTCGTTTTTTTGTGCTGAAACGTTTCACCTTCCATCCAGAAGGCTTCATCAGTCAAAGAAAAACACAACACAAAACGGATTCTTCCCCCAACAGCTTACTCCAAAGTGGAACAAACCAGTTATGCTGGTGTTAAGATGGTCTCTTCTTGGAAAGCCCCTTCCTCCAGTGGCGACCCTCTCCCTCGTCAACAGTCACGTCAATCTGGTTCAAAACCAACAAAGTCCATGCTCAACAATCCAGGTATACAATCAAACAATTTTCAGTCAGGTTTTTATTTGACTGATGAAGCCTTCTGGATGGAAGGTGAAACGTTTAAGAACAAAAAAACGAAACTGTCCAGATGACCTGACTGAAAATTGTTTGAATGATTAAAACAGTTGCCAAGATGTGAAGAAAACAGGTTGAAGCGGATACGCTGTGGGTGAAGGTGGGCAATTAAATAATAGGAATGGGCTAGAACACAGTTTGCAAGAAATACATACAAATATAGGCCATATTTTCTTTAAACTACTTTTCTTGTTAGGTGAAAAACACTCAGAATTCAGTGAGACTGCTACAAGTAGAAAGAGTATTTTTTGTTCCAATCATGAGTCGAAGACTAATCCAACAGTCGCAGCCCAGTGAGTTACTACCCTTAGTTTAGTTTTGTATTCATTAAAAAATGTTTGGTGTTCAGTACCACCTTTTGGTCCTGTGTTTGGATCTAGCACAAGTCGGATCCTCGGTGCCACCTGTCATCAATCCAGCAGACATGTCAATAATTTTTTAGTCTTTCACCCTCCTTAGATGGCATTAATCTGGCCACCAGCTCAAATGTTAAAAATCTTAGTATTATTTTTGATCAGGACATGTCTTTTATCCCCCACATTAAAAACATTACTAGAACTGCCTTCTTCCTGCTGTATAATATCACTAAAATTAGAAACATCTTATGTAAAAATGATGCAGAAAAACTTCTTTGACCTCATCTCCTTGGTTCATGGCACACTGTCAAGAAAGTGGTAAATGCCACCCTGTGACTGTTGAAAGCATTTTAATATTACGACTAAAAATCTTGGGAAAAGGAAAGGCCCTGAAAACCTACATGTATATATTTTTCTCTTTGGCATAGCAACAAAATACAGGATACACATGTTCATGTCCAGCACGCGTGCTCTCACACGTGGAAGCACTCTCGGTAATTCTCCTGCAGGCAGTGGGCAGTCCTGACTCAATATTTTCCACTCATCATTAATTTCCTCCTCCCCCTCCTTCATGTTTCCCTCCTGTATAATCCCCCACATCCCTATCTACCTCACTATACCCCCCATGATCAATCATTCCACACTCTCTCCGTCTTTTGTTTGTCAGCACTGTAATGTAACACATCACATGTAATGTGATTACAGCCTTCCTGCCCACTGTCAGCTCTTAAAAAGTGGACTTTTTTTTAGCTGTTACTCACAGACCTGTAACTGATTACATTTTCCAAGTAACCTGCCGTTTTCTATGTCTGCCTCCCACCCTCCCGTGAATCGTGCAGCTTTTCAAGTGAGCGTGGGACTCTGATATCTTTTTATGATAAACGAGGGGGAGAAAAAAATGCAAATGCCTCCCACCGACGCAACGAGAGATAAATCAGAATCGCAGCGCAAGAAAGGAAGGAAAGAGGGAAGGGAGAACGGAAGGTAGCGCCTGAGCATTCTCCTCCCTGAAGCTTCAGCACAGTCAGGCAACCATCGTTCATCATCACATGTTTATACAAAACACACACAGGCACACACTTATAAACACACAAAGCAGTCCAAAAACGAGGAAAGCCTACGCACAGGGCAGTGTCAAAAGATCTGACATTTCTTGCAAAGTAACAATGTTTTTACAATACTGGGACGAATCACACTCTGAATGGGATGGATTATTAGTGCTGGCACATCAGACAGGGCTGTTTTTAAAAACACCAGACAATATGAGCTCCCTTCACTCTCTATAAACTAATGTGTGTTGATCAAGCTTTTCACTGTAGACTGGGCAGCCCACTGGTTTTCAGACAAGGCTGTCTGTTTCCATAGCCCTCTATCCTCTGGCAATGTGTCAGCTGAAACATTGGTTTCTGAGATGGCCGTTGTTTTCCTCTCAATCTGTTTGTGCACACAATTTAATTGCTTAAATCATTTAGTGAGATTCAGAATTATTTGAAAATATTTAAAAGTGACATGTCTTGTAGGATGTGATGGACTTGCGACCCATCCAGGGTGTACCCCGCCTCTCGCACAGTGATAGCCAGACATGGGCACCAGCGACCCCCGTGACCCAAAATGGAAAAAGCGGGTAAAAGAAAATGGATAGATGGATGTCTTGTAGGAATGCTTATTGCCTGCTGCCTTGCATGCTAAAGTTTAACCAAAGGGGTGATCTATTAGTGCTCAGTGTGTGTGTTGGGGATGACTCTCAATGACTACTACACCAAACTTACAGATATACGTTAAAATGACTGAGTTATAGCCATGTTTACGATGGTAGAAATAGCAGCCATCTTGAATTGGGTCAGCTCCAAAAAGTTAAAAAGTTGTAAAGGTCCAGAGATTACTTTATGAGAGTTTGTAGAGATGTCACCACCCTTCAAACAAGTGACCACTGACAAACATGACTTCATACTTTTTGAGTACTCTGGTTTTGTTATCAGCGCTTTGGATTACTTAAGTTCAATTCAGTTTATTTATATAGCGCCAAGTCACAATAGAAGTCGTCTCAGGACACTGAACAGAAACATTCATATATACAAAGTAATAATTTTACATTGTTTATCTGAGGAGCAGACTGCTTTGAGTTTAACTCCATCACAGAACTCTCGTCTGGAGCAAGCATGAAGGCGACAGTGGAAAGGAAAAACTCCCTCATGAGGAAGAAACCTTTAGCAGAACCAGGCTCAGGACAAGCGGCCATCTGCTTCAACCAGCTGGTTTGGTAGGAACAGATACACAATGGCAGGTCAAGAATCACATGTTAAGATAGAAATAGTATCAAATGAAAACTATTCAGTTTTAACAATTTATTTAAGGAAATTAGGTCAATTTGTCCTCTAGTAATCTAAGCTTAAGGCAGAATAACAAGCCAACTCTAACTATATGATTTATCAAAAAGGAAAGTCTTCAGCCCAGTCTTAAAACTGGACAAAGTGTCAGCCTCATGGACAGAAACTGGAAGTTGGTTTCACAAGAGAGGAGCCTGAAAACTGAAAGATCTTCCTCCCATTTTGCTTTTGGAAACTAGGAACCGCGAGTAAGCCTGCAGTCTGAGAGCGAAGTGCTCTGTTAGAAAAATATGGAACAATAAGATCTCAAATATAAGATGGAGCTAGGTTGTTGAGAACTTTGTAGGTTATAACTAAGATTTTGAATCCAATTCTGAACTCGATAGGGAGCCAGTGGAGAGAAGCTAAAACTGGAGAGATATGATCTCTCCTACTAACTCCAGTGAAGACTCTGGCAGCAGCATTTTGGATCAACTGAAGACTTTTTAAAAGATGCATTTGGTCACCCAGATAACAAACAATTGCAATAGTCCAGTCTGTATGTGACAAATGCGTGAACCCGTTTTTCTGCATCGTTTTTAGATAAGATGTTTCTAATTTTAGTGATATTACGCAGGTGGAAGAAGGTGGTTCTAGTTACGTTTTTTTCAGACTCTTATACGTATAGTAGGGACAGTTAAAGGCCTGATTATACTCAACGGGAAGTGCCAAAGTTGTGTCTTGCTGATGTGGTTGCTTAAAACAATTGTATATATTTTTTCACACCATTCAAGACTCCATTCTGTGCAAAGCCCCCCTGACAAAACTGTTGTCTTGCAGGGTATGTGCACGTATTGTGTTATTGGACAGAAAATCATGGATGTGTTTATGTAGAAAAGAAGCTGCAGTACTCAGCTTTTTTTGTGAAGCCACTGACTTAGGCTGTTAGAAAATACATCAATTTTCACAAGTGTTCCAGCAAAACACAAAATATAGTCAAAGTACTTAAGAAAGGAGCTGGCACAATCTTTGTGAGACAGCATGGACAAAGACTCTAAAGTGCACCCCAGTGAGAGGCAGTAGGGAAACGTTCCTGTACTGTCTGATAGAAGTGAAGGCGGTCTCTTTGTGACAATTTTATAAAATTGTGCTTCTCCTTGGTTAACAACATAAATATCAGATCTTCCTCCTCCAACTCTTCCATCGTCAACTGGAAATAAACATCCACTCAACAACAACTAGCTGTGCTCTCACTGTAGTTTCTGATTGTGCATGACGTGTGGTGCAGTGGGACGATTTACCCTGGCAGATTCTCTTATAGTATAAAATATAATTTGAAAAAAAAGAATGTCTTACAATTATGTCAGCGAGAGCCAATGTTTTACATCTTGTGAAGTATAAACCAGATTTTAGAGTTACCAGTAAACCTAGCATGCATGCTTTTGGTCTATGGGAGGAAAACCGGAGTACCTAGAAAAAGCCCACAAGTGCACAAATTCCACACTAATGGTCACAGGCTGGGAGGTGAACCTGTAACTCTCTTGCTGTGAGGCCACAGTTCTAACCACTGTTCCACTATGCTGCCACATAGACTATATCCTTAAAACATAATGTGTTTTAAATTATTACATGCAAAAACATTTAAGATTTATTTATTTTGTGTTTCTGTTTATTTACCTTTCTCATTTTCGGGCACTAGGGTTTCAATAGGAGGTTCCAGCTCTCTGCTGTCCAACAAGCAGCACTTTGCCTGTGACAGAAAAAGGCGAAGACTCTGCAGAAGCTGCACAGGCTTCACACGTGATGACGAAGACGTCGACGACGAGGAGGCCAGTGATTTGAGCACCTCCCTCTGCTCCAGGAGGAAGTCCTGAACCATGCTCCCAAAGACCGAGCGTCTGTCTCGGGAGAGTTCCTCTACCAGTCGCGTCAGACGCTTGTCAGGAGCAAAAAAACAAACGAAGGCTTCACTCATGCGATGCATCCCACCGCGGCCTCGAGAGCGAACGAGTGGTGGACGCCGATCCATGTCTGTCTGGGCCTGGGCCATGCTTTCTGGTTCTGTATCTGAGTCGTTGTCCTCGTCCATGCTGCTAAAAGAGCTGCTGCTGTCTAGCTCGGCCAAAGACGGAGCCGGTTGGCGCTCCAAGGCCAAAACTGTGCCTTCAATTCCCGTCTCCTGATGGAACTTTGGTGGTTCATCCACAGTTGCTGATGTCTACAACAGAGATTTTTTTGTTGGCATATGCTCTGTAATCTCAAGAACAAAGAACTACGTGCTCACATATTTATGTCAGTATATGCATGGCTTGAAAGGCAGATAAAGATTCTAAGGCTTACTTGTGCTGCATATGCAGACATCATGTCATCCTCCTCTGCTGAACCGGGGGATACAGCGGGGGTTCTCCTCAAGACTCCAGCCCCTGCGTGAACTTTCCTCTGTGGGTTAGTGGTGGTTTTGTGCAGCCCCTCTGATTCTCCGGCTTGCTCCACTGACGGGGAAGGCGAGTAGGATCCAACTCCCTCAAGGGACAGATTCATGGAGGATTCTGAGAGCCGGAGTCGCATACTACGTTTGAAGCGGTTCCGTTTATTGGAGGCACTGTTATTCATGTGTTGCAGCTGCTGTTAAGTAGAAAAAAATAAAAATGCAAGGTAAAAACATTGATGCTTATAACTACAAGACATTTAAAACGAGATAAACTGAAGAGAAGTCTTCAAAGACTAAATTCTGTCAGAGAAAGCAAGATGTTTATCACTGACCTTGCAAACCTCCAGTTGGAGAAAGAGTGGGTTGATGAAGCAGATTTTGCCTTGTCTGCAATGGGTCATCAAAGAACATCGCTCCTGATTCGCCCCCGTTTGAGCCTGACCACCGCTGGTTGATGCAACAAACCCCAACGGCCCATTTTGGATGTCTACAGCGCTCGGTGAACTCCAGAAGTCTAGGAGAAAATCCAGGAGGAAGACGGGGGCTTAGATAGTGACATTTTTTAATTAAAAGTTTCATAATGTGTAAATTATTAGTAAAAAAAAAAAAAAAGGCAAGAAAAAGCCTTTTATAAAGGAGGGATGTTCTTGTGTTTGGTGATAATTGCAGTTTTACTGAGCACACTCCAAATAAAAAGTTACAATTCTACAGCTAAAGGACACATAGTTATTATTCTCAGCTCTAAACAAGGACGTAGCTTCGTGATAGTTTGCATTATTCACAGTTCTTTAAATTGTCTTATACAGAGGAATTTTTCTGTTAGGATACTTTTCATAGTGGTTACTGAGGTCATTCTAAACTTAGTAAAAATATATATTAGAGAAATGGAACCAAAATGAATATCCAACAATTTTCAGTCAGGTCATCTGGACAGTTTCTTTTTGTGCTGAAACATTTCACCTTCCATCCGGAAGGCTTCATCAGTCAAGGAAACACACAACACAAAACTGATTCTTCCCCCAACAGCTTACGCCAAAGTGGAACAAACCAGTTATGTTGGTGCTAAGATGGTGTCTTTGGCACTCCCCCTCTTCTTGTGCCGGCCCTCTTCCTCATCGACAGTCATGTCAAACTGGTTCAAAACCAAAAATGTCAATGCTCAATAATCCAGGTATACAATCCAACAATTTTCAGTCAGGTCATCCAGACAGTTTCTTTTTTGCTGATCCAGATGATTTACTCCAGATCCTGATTTTTGCTGTCCAGATGACCTGACTGAAAATTGTTGGATTGTATACCTGGATTATTGAGCATGGACATTTTTGGAACCAAAATTAATAGTTCAAATATTTAAAAGTGGACTTTTTGGAAAGGTTGTGAACAATTATTATTGTACCTACTGTAAATAACTCTTTGAATCACCTCATCGTAGGGGAAAAAAGACTTTAAGTCTTACCAGATTGATGAGCTAACGACTAGTATCAACGAGGCTAAGAGGAAAAAGAGTTACAGCCATCTTAAAATAAGTCCAATGTAGAAAAAAAAAGAAGAAGAAAAAATCATGGTGGTTCCGGTGAATGCAATCTTTTAAACAATTCCATCAGGGTCAGTTTCACATTACGCATGTATTTACATAGAACTGTGTGAGTGGTATTTGCAAATAGCAGCAATAGCAGCTAGCTGTAGCACCTCAGGTGTAGTCTTGGGCACTTTGTGCAGGAGTATCAAAATATTTCTGTCTGAGTAACTGGATAATGTGAAGTTGACCAAAAAGTTTTTTTAAGTGTCCTTTTGAAGTGTTATAATTTTTGAGAATGTTATTTCAAGACAGAAGCAATCTGCTTGGTTCTTGACTCAGCTCAGACAAGGCATTATTAGCTTATTAATCCCACCAGTATTAAACATTGTTTTTATTTAACTGAGGTTGTTGTGGGTGTTTAACTTCATAAATACAGAAAGGACTCAAATATTCTAATTATAATGCAATTTTACATGTTTCAGACAGTTTTGCAACCTGTATCTTCCTCACTAAGAGGACAAACTTTTATGATTATGTTGAAATCACAGATGGAGCCGGCCACATCCCACACAGACACAAGCTTACAGAAAAGAAGCGAGCAATGCAGAGGCAAAAGAGGGGTGGAGTAGAACTCAGCTGGGCTAACTTAAAGTATAATGTGTTAAATGCATGACAGACCTTATATCATTTTGAAAAACATGGTGAAACACAGTTGCGTGATTCTCTTCGTTGTTAATTAACTTTTTTAACTACAGTATTTTTCGCTGTATAAGTCGCAGGTTTTTTTTGCATAATTTACATGCCCTGCGACTTATACGCTGAAGTGACATATTTATGGATTTTTTACCATATTTATAAACCAATTTTTGGCTAAAATATGACCGTTTCCATTTATTCTGACTGGAAATATTGAACACTACCATTTTTGGCCGCTAGATGGCACTCGAGTAGTATAGCATGTTGTGGTATCATGTAATAGGTAAAAGTGTCTATTAATGACGCAATCGGCTTGCCATAGTCTGCCACCGTTGTCTGCCTGGAGCAACCGTCAAATCATCTTAATTTTGCTGTGCCGCCCCAGCAAAATGCAGCTGATTTGACTATTGAAATGTATTTATTACGTAAAAGTTCGACTGAGGCACACCTTTCCTACAAAGTCGAGCAAACAAATAATGGTTTTAGGTGGTTATCTTGTGAAATTTCAAAGAAATGGATGGCGAGTCGCCCTCTACGCGTTCATGTTTCCTTGTATCAGCTTGTGAAAATGCAGCTGATTTGACCGTCAAAGTGCATTTATTAAGGAAAAGTTAAGACTGAGACATAGAGGATGACACGGGAGTGAATTTTCACTCCTGTCCTGTCCTGGTCCCACAGAAAAAATCCTGTCCTGTCCCACTCCTGGTAACATGACTCCTGCTCCCATCCTGCTCCCATTTAGAATGACTCCCACTCCTGTACTGCTCCCATTTTTTCCCCTTCCATTTAGTCTTCAGGAAATACACTGAATTTGATTTAATCTTGTATCCATTCCTTTTTATCTTACTTTGTGTTTCACACATTACAGACTGGAGAATTGCAAGTCTGGTATTCCAGAGTGAAGCTTATTGAAAGAAAACTACAAAATAGCGGCGCCTGTCCAAAGGTTTATTTTTTTAATTTTTTTAAATTTATTTATTTTTGTGTTATTTGTTGGTTCCTAGTCCTGTCTGGTCCTGTTAACTTTTCGTCCTGTCCCATCCCAATCCTGTGAGTTATAATAAAGTTGACTCCTGTCCTGCCAGAGTCCTGCGGGAATCCTTTGACCCACAGGACTCCCGAAAAAATGTCATCCTCTAGCACACATTTGCTAAAATTTTGAGCAAACAAGTAATTACTTTTAAGTGTAAATCTTGTTAAATTCTTGTTAAAGTCCTCCTGTGCATGCTCCTGTGGCCGCCATTTAGTAGCCAATCGATTTTTGGCACAACACCGGCCCACATTTCCGGGTTGTCAGTGGTGACGTGTAACAAATCTGACGCGTCAGAGGTGATGCATAATAGATGCGACGTACTGTATATGGCGAAGCGACATATTTATGGATTTTTCCACTTTATTAGACATATTTAGACTGATGCGACTTATAGGGTGGTGTGTCATTTACCGCAGAAAATACGGTAAATACAAAATTGCTGTGCTCATCATTGCTGTTCCTTTGGTAATAAATCTGTTGCTGTTAAATCCAACAACCAACTGGTCATGCAGACAGTATAACATCACTTCAGCACATTACTGATCAGTGGCACCAGTTTACTTTAACAAAGGGGTGTCAAACCCACTTACAAAAGGGGGCCAAAATTAAAACCTTTTTCAAACCAAGGGCCGGTTTCAGAATCTACTTTAACTCAAGTTAGATACCCAACATCTTTTCTTGATTGCAAGTTCCTCAATAAGAGTTTGATTGGTCTCATTTTCTGTTTTCTGTTGCATTTTTGACATCATAATCAAAGATTACTGAAAAAAAATTAAGTGATAAAAGTATTTTACATTTAAAATAACATCTTGGGGGCCAGATAAGATGTTAAGGAGGGCCACATTTGGCCCCCGGGCCTCGAGTTTGACACATACGCTTTAACACATTGGTCATTTTGCCTCTGTTACTACCTCATGTTTTAAAAGTGATACGAGGAATACATCCGTCACACAATTAAAGCACAGCACTTCACGTTAGCTGAGTTCTGCTCCACATATCTTTTGCTTCTACGGTGCTGGCTTCATTTCTGTGAGCTCACATCTATGTGGGCCATGGCTCCATCTGTGTTTTGTGAATTGTTCAGAAACTGCATAAAAATAAATTGGTGTTTGTGGCAATTTTGGGGAACTGTTTTGTAAAATACCCTTGATTTTTCTTTTGTAGAAACAGGGTTTACTTTTATTTAGCTTTTTAAACCTAAAATATTAATTAACATTGCAACATTATACATTTATTATGCAACATAAAGAGGAAAAAAATACAGCTTGTGTTTAAGATACTTCACTTTCTTGATAACCAAAGATGGAAAAAACAACCTCTAAATCAACACCAACTGTTTGTCCACTGCAAGCAAAAGAACCATAATTATACAGCGTCTGGTTATCACTTTTAGCCATTACAAAGTCACACCTCGTGCTTTGCTACTGCAGTACAACAACACATGTTACGGTGTTAAAATAGAAGCAAACTGGCAGTCACTACTTCACTCATTAGCTGCCTTTCTCACAATGGAAATACAAATATGTTTTAAATTATTTTCTTGTAATGAATTTGGAGAGGGGGCAGTGTAAATAGGATCACATACAAAGCAAAAAAGGGTTAAAAAATTGCAATAGTCTATATTAATGTTGATATATGTGAAAATAGAAAATGTAATGAACAAATGCACTAGCCTGCTTACTTGGTAGACATACAATTCACATATAAGTCACAAATTTTATAAAACTTCGTTCGAAATTAAAAACCTAGTATTCATTGAAGCCTTTCTTGTCAGCTTTTAAACTAAAATCTTCTTATGTTGAGTAATGACAGTAGATATTTTAATCAAATCTCGAAAATAACATACAAACCAGATTCCAAAAAAGTTGGGACACTAAACAAATTGTGAATAAAAACTGAATGCAATGATGTGGAGATGGCAAATGTCAATATTTTATTCGTAATATAACATAGATGACAGATCAAAAGTTTAATCTGAGTAAATGTAACATTTTAAAGGAAAAATATGTTGATTAAAAATTTCACAGTGTCAACAAATCCCAAAAAAGTTGGGACAAGTAGCAATAAGTGGCTGGAAAAAGGAAATTGAGCATATAATGAACAGCTGGAAGACCAATTAACACTAATTAGGTCAATTGACAACATGATTGGGTATAAAAAGAGCTTCTCAGAGTGTCAGTGTCTCTCAGAAGCCAAGATGGTAAGAGGATCACCAATTCCACCATTGTTGCGTAGAAAGATAGTGCAACAATACCAGAATGGTGTTACCCAGCGTAAAATAGCAGACTTTTAAGTTATCATCATCAACCGTGCATAACATCATCAAAAGATTCAGAGAATCTGGAACAATCGCTGTGCGTAAGGGTCAAGGCCGTAAAACTCTACTGGATGCTCGTGATCTCCGGGCCCTTAAACGTCACTGCACCTCAAACAGGAATGCCACTGTCAAGGAAATAACAGAATGGGCTCAGGAATACTTCCAGAAAGCATTGTCAGTGAACACAATCCACCGTGCCATCCGCCGTTGCCAGCTGAAACTCTACAGTGCAAAGAGGAAGCCATTTCTAAGCAAGCTCCACAAGCTCAGACGTTTGCACTGGGCCAGGGGTCATTTAAAATGGAGTGTGGCAAAATGGAAGACTGTTCTGTGGTCAGATGAGTCACGATTTGAAGTTCTTTATGGAACACTGGGACGCCATGTCATCCGGACCAGAGAGGACAAGGATAGCCCAAGTTGTTATCAACGCTCCGTTCAGAAGCCTGCATCACTGATGGTATGGGGTTGCATGAGCGCTTGTGGCATGGGCAGCTTGCATGTCTGGAAAGGCACCATTAATGCAGAGAACTATGTTCAGGTTCTAGAACAACATATGCTCCCATCTAGACGTCATCTCTTTCAGGGAAGACCCTGCATTTTTCAACACGATAATGCCAGACCACATTCTGCAGCAATCACAACATCATGGCTACGTAGGAGAAGGATCCGGGTACTGAAATGGCCAGCCTGCAGTCCAGATCTTTCACCTATAGAGAACATTTGGCGCATCATAAAGAGGAAGGTGCGACAAAGAAGGCCCAAGACGATTGAACAGTTAGAGGCCTGTATTAGACATGAATGGGAGAGCATTCCTATTTCTAAACTTGAGAAACTGGTCTCCTCTGTCCCCAGATGTCTGTTGAGTGTTGTAAGAAGAAGGGGGGATGCCACACAGTGTTAAAAATGGACTTGTCCCAACTTTTTGGGGATTTGTTGACGCCATGAAATTTGGAAACAACAGATTTTTCCCTTAAAATGATACATTCTCTCAGTTTAAACTTTTGATCTGTGATTTGTGTTCTATTCTGAATAAAATATTAGATGTTGGCACCTCCACATCATTGCATTCAGTTTTTATTCACAATTTGTTTAGTGTCCCAACTTTTTTGGAATCCGGTTTGTACTGTAATGCACAATTTCACATAATATTGAGATTTTGTGCAATTTGTTAAGGCTCAACGTAAATGCTGGGTATGCTGCTAAGCTTCTACCTCAACAAATTATAGTTTAATACCTTTAAAACTGACAGGGTTTTAGCCAATTCAGTGTTTCCATCTTAAAATAGGTTGACCCCAAACATTAATCACTTGTAATATGTACTGAAGTCCCTCATTTATTGTGGAAATCTGTACCCTGAAGCCCCGCGATAAGTGAAAAACCGCGAAGTAGGAACAGAGAACAGAGAAATGAATAGACACAGCAAAGTCGCCTTCTTTTCAAAACAAGTAGCTAAAATATAACCCTTATAATGATTTCAGGCTACGGGTGGGCAATGGTCTTTAAATGATCAAAATCTATTTAAAACAAGTGAATTACAAAAAGAAATAATAAAAAAAAAAGTTTTTTAAATTTAATTTAATCTTATTTACACAATTACAAGAAGGAACACTCTTTTCAAAAACAACACCTCCACACCCTTAATTATAAAATAAAATAAAAACATTTTACAACATTCCGGGATCTGTTTATGCTATTGAAGTTTATTTTGAAATTATTATTATTAAGTAGAAATTATGTACACCGATTAACTCGGCTTTGCTGTCAGAATAGTGCACCCCCTCCACTACGTTGAGAGGGTTGTTGATACGTTGATACAGTACGTTGGCCCTGTGAAATGAAGGAACATAAAGATACCCAGCTAGCAGAGTTAGCCGCTGCAAGTCTCTGCACCTGAAGCCTTATTTCATTAGTGGGGTTTTCAGGTGAAGGACTGACCAAATTAAATTTACTGCAAGTCCCCAACTGTATGGACAAATATTTGTAGAAAAAAGGAATTAAAACTGACAAATGAGGAGTGTTTTTACATAAAATACTCAGCCTAATTGGAGGCAAGACACAATCTGAGAGCATCTTTTTTTGTGACTGATTCGCTGATGATTTATTTACCTTGTCCCATGTGTGAGATGGCCTCCAGCTGCCTGTGTGTTGTTGCTCTTGTAATTGCCTCCGGTAGTTGAAGAGGAAAAGGTAACACGTCCCTGGAAACATTTGTAAAGGAAACAAACACCTAACAATTTGCCCAACAAGTCAGGTCCTCTGGATGGTTTCTTTTGTTGTTGAAACATTTCGTCTTTCATCCAAAGGACTTCATCAGTCTGAGGAGACACACTAAACTCAGTCCCATAAGTAGCACACTCACATAGTGGGCCAACCAGTTTGATGTGATAAGATGGTTTCTGAAGTACAACATAACAATTTGCTTAACCACATGGTTCTGATTGAATGAAATTATTTAAACAAACCAAATTATGAATATAAAGAATATGTATTTAAACATTTAGGGCCTTTAGATGTAAACTGCTTCTAGATTCCAAACATGTCATTTTGAATCCTTGACAATATTCTGTCATATTGTTCTGAGCCTGCTTCTGCTAGAGGTTTCTTCCTGGGAGTTTTTCCTTTCCACTCTTGCCTTTGTGCTTGCTCAGGATGGGAGACTGCAATGAAATGAAGACCCAACGCAATCTGCTGGCTATCTTAGATAGATAACTTTTACTAATTGATATTTTATGTATATGAATGTTTCTGTTCAGTGCCCTGAGATGACTTCTGTGACTTGGTGCTATATAAATAAACTGAATTAAATTGAATAACAGCCTCAGTATTGTGATTTTATGGTCTCAGGCAGGATTTGACAATAGATCCTGGCTTCAAACAAAACCAATGTTAATCTGAAGGTTAATTATTTTTATTAAATTTTATTAAAATGGTGTTCTATGGAGTTGCTTTTAGTAATAAATATCTTACCCGTAGTAGAAATCACTCAGCATTATCACTTTGAAATAACAAGCAGAAATCTCTCTGAGGAGACCGGTAAATAAAAATGTGTTGGGTGAACTGCATTTTTTAAAATATTACACCACATTTATTACTACACTTGCATAAAATATTGAGTTTAGCAAAGTTTTTAATCAACTGCAACACTGTGAATGATAATTCAGCATTATTAAGCATTACTTTTAACTAGGCTTTTGTAACTTTGAGCTACTGTTTTGCAACCTTCAGATAATGTTTAGCTTTCTTTAACTTTTGGCTGATATTTTTCAATTTTTGAGCTATTGTTTTGCTTTTATTTTAGCTTTTGACTAACATTTTGCTACTTACAGCTAATGCTTTGCTATATTTAACTACCCTTTTGATACTTATAGCTATGAATTAACATTTTCCTGTTTGTAGTTAACGTTTGGCTACTTTTGGCCTCTAACAAGCCTACAGCTAGCCTTTTGCTACTGTTGATTTTTCGGTAGTGTTTCGCTGCTCTGCTTTTAGCTAACATTCTGATTCTTTTGTGAAATAAAATTATTGATTCCTGCTTCTAATTTTTTTTTAATAAAAAATAAAACGAGCATTTTAAAATAAATAAAACAGCTTATGAAAAGGGTGTCATGATATTGATTGCTTTTAGAGAATCAGCATGTTTTGTTTTATCCTTTTTTTATATCCAAGTATCAATAAAACCTCTGCACTTTCTAACACGTCTTTTGTTGCAAACGTTTTGCATTAATCAAATACAGGTGAGTATCAAAAAGAAATAAAAAAAAGCTTGTTTTGATTATTAAGTTGTATTGGTGAAGGTTGGCTTTGTCTCAGGTGGAGAAGTTTATGTATCTGGACATCTTCATAACGTATGGTAGGATAGAGCAGGAGATGGATCGATGTGTTGGGACCTTGACCTCAGTAATGAGAGTGTTTCTTCAGTCGATCATGGTGAAGAAAGAGACAAGTCCAAAAGGCAAATCTCTCAATTTACTGGTCTATTTACCTTCAACCCTCACATGTGGTCAGGAGTTATGAATCACAACTGAAATAACAAGATCCCAGAAACAAGCAGCCAAAGTAAGTTTTCTTCAAAGGGTAGTCAGGTCCAGCCTTAGAAATGGGGTGAGGATCCCCATCAACTGTGGGGAGCTTGGAGTAGAGCTACTGCTCCTTCTCAACAAAAGGAGTCAGTTGAGGTGGTTTGTGTATCTGATGCCTCCTGGATGTCTCCTTTTAGAGGTTTTCCAGGAACATCCCACTGGTAAGAGACAGGGAAGGCCCAGAACTCGCTGGAAGGATTGTGTATCTTTAGCCTAGGAACGCCTCAGTGTCCCCCAAGATGAGCTGGAAAGTGCCACTGGGAGAGGGGGTGTCTGGGTTTTTCTCCTGGACCTGTTGCCTCTACTACTCAACTACAGATAAGCGGTAGGAGATGGAAACGTTGGACAGTCAGTGAGTGAAACTGAAATTAAGACTGATATTCTGAAGTGATTTGAGTGACATATATCACAGGTAATATATTGATTACTGATAAAAAAAAAAAATGCAGAACACCACAGCAAAATCTCCAAACTAAACAAAGCCTGGTTTCCACTGAGTTTTCGCTTATCCCAGAGATAAGACTGAAAACTCTGTGTAGTCCAGTGAATTAATGTCTAAACAGAAAGTACTTTTCCTTAAAGACAGCATTCTGATGTACTTTAATGTCTAATTCTGGATCGCTTTGCGTCAAAGTATTGAACCAAAACGGGGTGGTCTACATAGAAACTGTGTTTTATTATATATAGCACATTACCTGCTGATGCAGTAGAAAGCCACCAAACGACACAAGTCAGGGAAGCTGAGTGCTGAGCTCTCCAGGGCGAATGCTAGTGATAAAACAGAGACTGAGTGGCAGGAATGGGGGCTGTGTGAGACTCGTTAACTGTCAAACATTATATAGAGGATCCATCCTGCACTAACAGAGTGGGATTTTTTTTCCACAAAAACACATATATACAGGCAATTAAATGACTGCCTACCTTTCATGGCAGCAAATGATTAATGATTTTTTTTCTAATCCTAATGGGATATTCAGATTGATAATTATTACTGAATTGTTTTGGGTAGTATAGTGTTGCATACTCATGATAACTGGCATATTTCCCCCCAAATAAACAACTCATTATGAACTCCAGTGGTACTTTTATAGAAACACTTCAACAAACTTTAACAAGGATAATTCTTTCAAACTCTCAAACCACTGACATGCTGACCATTTTGTGTTCTGGTGTAATGGCACATGGACAACACGTGTTAATGTACAAGCCTTTTTTTAACTTACTGGAGTCCTCCTCACTGATGAAGCACTCCTTCACAGAGGAGGCACTTCTGTCAGCTGCCACCCTAAAACACAGCACCTTCCTCTGGCTGGAATTGCATTTACGCACTAAAAATGTCTGAACAAACACAGGAAAAAAGGGTTAAAAGAGGTTTATCTTCATGCTAAAAACATATATGATACTACTAATAGCAATGCAAATTAAATAACAAGGAGAAAGAAATAATACACCTTCTTTCGTCAAACTCAGATTTGACAGGTGTCCATTAAGAATGACCTTAAAGGTTATCCTACTTGGTGTTTCTGGATGTACGAACAATAACCATCATATACTGGCCTGGTCAAGTGTCTGAGTCAACAGGTATATGGGAAATAGTTATCTCCTACTTCCCCACCCCCACCCCTAAATTTGATGAAAGGTGGTGTATTATTTCTCTATCCATCCATCTATCATTTACTACTTGTAATTGTTGAGAGGATGCTGAAACTTCTTTCTGTCACAGAGCAATACACAGAGGAATGCACAACAACACTTATCACACAACTACACATAAAGTCACAAGAGTGCACGTGTGACTGCAGTCTAGTGCTGCCCTGAGGATGGAAAACACACAGGACAGGTTTATGAGGAGCGCATCTCAGCTTTGGCTTTATAGCTTTAATGTTTCCTCCAGAACTATCCATCCATCCATCCATCCATCCATCCATCCATCCATCCATCCATC